AATTCTCATCAACAATATTATCTCGGGAGATTCATCGAAACCCAGATATTTTTTGTATCTACGACATAAGGCGAGTATAGTACATGTAAATGAATTATTGGTAGTCTCGAAAGCTTACTTATAAACAAAAAGTAAGTAGCAATTATGCTGGGTAAAATAACATGCGAGGATAATTATAGCAAGACAGGGTCAAGGTCATGCTTATTATATGGATGACACCCACGATGGTAAAGTTAGATTCAATCAACTTTCCAGGTTGCTGTTACTTCGGCTTAACTAACAGTTTGTAGAGCCGCCTCAAAAGTGCTCGAACAATAAGGCTAGCTTTTGCAAAAGGAGATTTTGTTCTCCAAAATACAACGCTGGATTTGATATCTACCTCCGCGCCTATTTCAAGAGTTGCACAATTTCTTCTTTCAAGAACGAATGGAGAAGCAAAATTGGTCTGCAATGTCTTATGCCTCAACACCGGTTTCCTTGAATTCAGGCATTATTAATATCTAGCATCCTGCGAATGCTCCTAATAGAGGTCTATGACCGTCGCGCCACCAGAGTGTATTTATGTGCGACGTCGAAATCAACAATTCTCGTTCTCGTTCTTGTCTTCTGGGGAAGATAATTTGATCAACTGAAGAACTTGGCTAAATTCACAGTTTCCAGCTCTTGCGAAACTGTCTTTTCAAGGTGCACTTGCATGTTCTCATTGGTCCGCGGCATCGATGAGATCACCCTTAGGCTCCTCGGTGCAACGACTCTGGGATTTTGTTCATCTAATAAATAACATTATTGGACGGATATCCCACAATAACCGACTTGAAGTATAGACACCAAGTAAATATGAAGGTAGGTAGGTATAAGTACTAATCTTTTTTTACTCATTAATTTATACCAAGTAGCATGGAAAGTTAGCAACATCAAATTTTCTAAATTGTGTTCATTGCAGTAAAATATACAAGTTTCTTATTATCGACCGAATTTGCCCTATACAACTAAGAAGGAACATGTAAACTTGACCTATAATTTAGCTATAATGGAGTTTTGGGAGAACATTTCGCAATTACATTATTTGGCTTTAAGAGAAACCACACTTGTGAAGACACCCTCGTGCATGCATAAGGTAATCATTATAGCAGACATGATAATTTGTATATCATAATAAGATAAGCAGAAGGCTTCTAAATAAGAGGGGCAAATCGGTGTTGGATAGAAATTGGTAAGTCTGTTGAATGCATCACTATCTCTCATGCTATTTATCACGTGACTGGCGGATGAAAGCACGGAATCATCAGAATAGCAGGACAGTGGGCCAAAAATTTAGCATTCCCAACTGCAAAGCACTCCTCTCTTGGTTTCAAGTGCGGCCAAACTATGAATCCTTTGTGCCCGCCTTTTTAAGCAAACTGAAAGATTATACAAAACATACACTTTGATCAGATAGACATTTCCCTAAATGGAAGTACGAATCATTCCTTCTTGGCATTTCAATTGAATGGATGCCCACCTCAGGTTTAGCCAGCTTGAACCTACGACCCACATGAAGCATTTCATAAAGTCATGAGGTCAACTTATAGTTGAGTGTTCCCACAATGAAATGAGTAGGCATCAGGATGCCATCAAATTTATCAGTAGCGTCGTGTGGCCTATTAACATCACTATAGGAAAAGTAAACTATCGGTCTTTCATCAACTTATGCGACCTGGGCTGAGTACAGCTTTTGCGAAAGAATAAGCTCCCAGAAAAGCGTTCCGGCAAACGGGCCACTAGTAGATGGGGCGCAGGGGAGGCTCTGGAATATCAACAAGCAGCCAGTGCACATGGTCTCGACACTGCGTAGGAGTTACGCGAAAAAAGAAGCTCCTAAAATCCTCAGTCGAATGCGCCTCTGGTAACCGGGTTCCAAATCGGAATGGCCCAACTGTTAGCGCTGAAGCCTCGAGTAAGCATGGAACTGGGGTTTCACCGACATGAAAGGGCAACCTTGAGACTGCAGAGCCATACGAGGGAAAGACAAGTACTTGCATTTTTGTCAAACAAATGCTCACTTCAAAATGGTAATTAAGCAGAAACGTATTATTAGCATTCGTTTGCTTGATTTTTAACTGGACATATGCGTAATCGATGCTAGACTGTACTAGCTGGTAACTTCTAAGGAAACTCATTGGAACAAGTTGTCATAGTTACCATGTTAGTTACAAAATTTAGGTGAAAAAATGGCTTGATAGATTATATTTTATGGTGAAGCTGAAATTGCACTAGTTGCGCATTCTAGGTGTGGATATTTTTGTGCAACCCATTAACAATCTGCCATTTTGGGGGAGTCCTACCAATCGTTATGCATTTGCGCGTTTATCATTGAATACCATAGCAGGATTACATTCATCGAGCCATCTGCCACTTGGTTTAGGAGCGATTGCACCTTTAGCCCCTCAAGTATCTACATTCTGGACTGGTTTGGGACCCTGCAGGTGTTCCTTGAGGACAGGGATCTGAACTTAGAGCTGAGGATCAAGAATGAGGAACGCAAGGCGTCATGCAAAGTAACACAAACCAGACAATTGGCGGAAGGAGAAGTGAGCCTGAAAAGCGGCAACGACGCGCAGCAGATATTCATGATTTCGGGTGTGGCAAGTGGTGGCAACAAGAGGACAAAAGTCGTCGACCCTGCAGCGAAATATGAATCGGCAGAGTCGGAGGAAGAGACTAACACTTCTGGATCTGACTGGTTTGTGATTTGTTGAGCCTGTGCAGAGTGGCGGTGTTAATATGCAACTAAAATCGTTTAGTATTGCATGAGTAAAAGGTAATTTGCATTTATATACCATGTATGAGATAAGATACTCCTTTATTTATTTAGTCTTTCATTACTTCAATCTGCCATATATATTTTTTGAAAGCAATAATTTAAAATAACGAGAATTCTTAAATTGTATCAGTCAAACTATAATTGCAAATTCATTTTACAAGTAAATAGTTTATATGCTTGATTTTTAATTAATGCTAGAGTGAAGGTATCTACTAAGGATACGAGAATTAATACGATAAACAAGAAAAAATAAGTAGATTCACTCTTGAAAACCTACTCAGTCACGACAAAAGTAATGTAGTCAGTTGCTATTGCAAATATAAGTTTATTTCATCGACAATCCCAAAAAAGAATTTGATATGGAAAATGCCTGACCTTCCTTGAAATTCACTTATGCCCTGTGAATCAAGGGCACACGTGGCAATGCGGCGTAGTTGTTAACGTGTCGCGCTTACACGCTTCACTGTCATGGTTTGACTCCCGCTGGAGGTGTTGATAAGACCAATGCGAGGTCGAAACTGGATAATAACACCTTTTGGGAAAGCAAGGCTATGTTAAATTCAATGGAAAATATCAGCTATACTAATATCATTGTGCAAAAATTCAACTACTAGTCCTCCATCATCTTAAACGAAATAGGGTAAAAACAATTCATTTATAAGAAAACGTAAGGTTTTCTTCTGACGTTCATCCTTCCTCGGATCGTCGATGGGTAAACTAAGCGCCTCAGTGGTTCCTGATAAATATTATATCTCCGTTTCGGTAAATCGATGGTAACTGGTCCACATGGTTTTCCTACTTAAGATTTCTCCGAGCTCTTGTCTGTACCACTTACAAGGCAAGAAATAATAGGACTACAAACTAAAGACTTGGTTTGAGCTAGTTTTCGCAACTACACCCTATTATAGATATAAGTACCAAGATAGTATAGCTTTAGGTTTAATCAGTCTCCTTTAATTAAATAATGTTGGTTTGATCTACTCTTCACAACTTTGTCGGGCAAGAGGGATACCTTGCGGAACTTACTCAGTTCTTGCGAGGGCTTTTCCTTCTGTTAGCGATAGACCCTTCATCAAGGCGTCTGGCATGTTTGGTGAACAGGCTAAGGTAATATAAAGTTTTTAGTTTCTTTTTCATCCATCTTTAAAATCTAGTGAGGCCAGATTAGACGCTTGAGGCAGACGATTGGAAATAACATCTCAAGTAGTACATATATGGTAGCCATGACAAAGGCAATTCATTGAACCGGCAAGTTGTAAATAAAATGGGCTTTGTTCACCCAATTTCGTTTAAGGTGATGAGAGGCTGGTATTTTGAGTTATCCCCTAATGATGAGTGAACATGACGTCTTCATTGAATTTCACATATT